CGGGGGGGCGAAAGATTGCGAGAGGGGGAGCGCACGAGAGGTGGGAGATGGTGGCGCGTGGAGGAAGGAGGAATGGCGGGGGGTGGTCGACGATGACGGGGACGAAGATGAAGGAGGGGGAGGTGACGACGAGGAAGAAGAAGAGGAAGGAGTTGGGATGACGACGACGACGAGGAGAAGAAGAAGGGGAAGAAGGAAGTGAGGGGGAGAAGGAAAGAGAAGGATAAGAAAGAAAAGAAAGAAAAAAAAATAATACTAAAATTTTGGTTTTGGCTTACCTGCACGTCGGTTTCGGGATCGGCGACGAGGCAGCGATGGTGGGGACGAGGCGCTAATGTGGCAGCAGCGACGACGACGAGGCGACTGCTCACGTGGCAACGATGACTATGACGATGAGGTGGCGAAGATGGCAGGTACGCATTTCAGTCGTGGCTGCAATGTCAGCGGCGATGGCAATGTCGTGGAGGCGCTGAAGAGGATGGTGATGGCGATGATGGCGATGACTTGGCAGCGCCGGAATAGGGAGGGAGGGATGGTTGTTTGCCACTCCGATACCAGTGTGACGGGGCTGAGGTAGAGCAACGAGGTCAGGGAAGAGAGAGGGAGGGAGTGATAGCACACACACACACTCACTCGACTCGACACGGACTCGACACGACTCGACGGACACAAACACAAAGTGGCAAAGTCGCAAAGTCGCAAGCTTGGGGGAGGGAGGGCCGTTTGCGGCTCCGATACTAGTGTGATGGGGCTGAGGTGGAGCAGCGAGGTCAGGGAAGAGAGAGGGAGGGAGTGAGAGCACACACACACACTCACTCAACTCGACACGGACTCGACACAACTCGACGGACACGAACACAAAGTGGCAAAGTCGCAAAGTCGCAAGCTTGGTTCCGTACACAATGTCGCAGCAAGTCACACTGAAGCACAAGCACGGAGGCTGAAAACTGAGTCCCGAACTCAGCTCGAGTCCAGTCTTAAGTACCGGACTCAAGTTGAGTCTGAGGGCAAAAGTGCAATTTACCACGGGTCTGAACTGAAAATCGAAGTTCTGAGCCTGACGCCAGAATGTCGGATGGTGCCGAGTACGAAATCCGGAAGTGGCAGAGGCAGGATTTGAGAACGGGCGCCAACTGCAGAGGGCACCAACAGTCAGGAACTGGAGATCACAGACTCCAAAAAAAATAGAATAGCAGCCTGGCGGGGGTGGTAACCCGCGGACCAGGGATCGAGCCTTGGCTGGGTCCGTAACAATCGGACACAAAGGTCCGGGAGGACGTTGGGCCCAATTGTCCAGTAGGACAACCCATCAGGGGTCCTGGACGTTCGATCAGGTAACCTAGACAATCTCTCATTTTATAGGAGTATGTCTACATTGTTGTGTATACCTTAGCAGCTTCTCCACTCCTTCCCTAGAGCCAGCCTCGACAACAAGTTTTGCAGAGATTGCAGAGATCACATGGAGGTTTTAACATTGTATTGTGTGGTTTCCAACAGGTCTTTGATATCTCATGTTTATTTCAGAACTTTCTCCGCTTGTGGCCCCTGCAAGGATAATGTCATCAAGCCAAACTTTCTAACTTTGCTCTGTTGGTGGGTAGCCTCTGCAGGCCATTGGAATTCCTGTCCATGGCCTTCGGAGGTGTCAATGATGTGCAAAAGGCAATACTTTATGTCAACAACTTTTTGAGTCAAAAAGTACCTGAGAGGGCCCCAAGTAGAGGCCACGTGATAAGACCACTCAGTTTGTGAGGTAATGGAGCATAAATTTGTACGCATGTTTTTGCTTTCAATGGGTGGTTTCAACAAGTTTTAGCTGGTTCTTGCATGTCTTTAGAGAGTGTGGTGAGGTGAAAGATTCCTGTTTGGACATTTTGTCAGCAGCTAAAAGAACGAAAGGCAACTACAAAGGAAAAAAGAACGAAAAGGAAAAGGAGGTTCAGTATGCCTTCTGCTTCTTGTTGTCTTCTTTCTTTCTGCTACTGTGTCCATGTTTGTTTTTGCGAGGCACAGGGCTTCGAACGTAAGGCGAAAGGCTTTCCATAACCTAAACCTTTGATTCTCACTTCAACTGACTTAGGAGCAGGCAGCCATAGCCGAGCTGCGCTGCTGTATGTTGGATGGGGCGCATGGTGGTCCTTGGGTGCATGTGGCATCTGTGAGTTGGGGAACGAGGTTGAGAGTGACACGAGAGACATACCCGGTGCTTGAAGTGTGCGGCATTGGCCGAGATCGGCTCGTACTTCGGGCGGCTGTTGAGGTCATTAGCGGCATTGTAGATAGGCTAAATAGGATCTGCCATTTGTAGTCTGGGCGTCGAGCGCCAGATAGGATATCAACATTGGTTCTTCGTTGATGATGATGAGACTATTCCAGCATTGTCAATTATGAGCTTTTGCTGTGCTCTTATTTGGTGGACCTCGTGATGCAATTCTGCTATTGGTTTGAGGTCACGACTATCTGGTCTCATGTGTATGCTGCTGTTTGATTTCTGAAGTTCGCTATCGCTCATCTTCTTTACAATTCGATATCGGAGCTATGGTACGGTGCGCTCATCTGGCGCTTGTCTACCGTCTTTGCGGTACATGCATGCGGTCTGCTGGGCGAGCGACCGTGGGAGGTGTGTAGTGAGGAGGGTGGAGACAAGTGTGGTGACCCAGGTGGTGAGGGATATCACCAGGAAGGCTACGAAGTGGTGAATATTGGGTGTTCGCAGTGTGATGAGAACTATCCGATGTGTGATTGATGCTTAGGTGGAACGGTGGTACTACGCTGGTTGTGTCGAAGCAGCGATTGGTCACAATCAACATCGGGTCATCTGGTGAGAATATCTGCAGTTGGGGTCAGCTATTTTGAGGTACGTTGCACCTAGCCTTATCTACCCTCTTTGACACTTCTTTCAGTGAGGATGTGTGTTCTGTCTTGAGAGTCCTCTCATGTGAGGAGTCGTGTGTGCTCAACCTTGAGAGTCGCCAGTCTTCACGTGGAGCATCTGGAAGGAGAGGGCGGTGCTATCTGAAGGGCCCTGGACGAAGCACTGGGTCACGGTCACGCATGCGTTGCTGCTATCTCCTTTGTCTGCTCGTTGCGCTGTAGAGGGGTTCTGAAGGGCAGGCCAGCCCTATGGGATATACGAGATCGGGCGTCTATAAATAAGCATCGGCGGGATACCTTCCATTGGCTGTGATTGTCGTCCTGTTTGCGACGTTAAATAATTCTCGAGGACTTCGAGGGCCATCCATAAAACCGCCTCCTGATCAGCCAATCGGTCGGTGTAAGGCTTGCTACACACAAGGATAAAGACTGTGCAGGGCTGGGCACAGGGGTGGGCCGTGTGCGCACCTTTAGACATGCAGGCTGTTTCGGATTGCTCAAGGACGTTGACGACCAGAGACATTCAGGAAGAACTGAGGGAGGGGTAGATTCCAGGTGATAAGTTTGGGAAAGATTCCACTCTGCAAACAGACCCAACGGATGATTCTATTTTTATTTCGATTAGTTAGATGTACAACCATTAACATCTGACAGATGGCATAGTTAGAACTGTTATCTGTTCATTGTGCTTTCTGTTTGCGGACTAGTCAAAGTAAAATATTTTTCATTTGTAGGAATTTGAACCTATTGGACCCAAATGTATCTACTCTGACGCAGCCATCGAGTAACGTAATCGATCTGTGCACTACGCTGCGGTAGTCATCAAAGAGAGACCTAGTGCAGATTGTGTACAGCTCTCCAGCTTATGAGCGATAGGGATACCACTAGTGAGGATGACCGGATCTTGCGATTGGCTAGACGCCCGATTGCCCACGTGGCATTAGGACTCGAGGGTGATAGGTTACTGTTCCGCCAGCTTAGGGAGAGACAACAGCAGCAGTGGAGAGCTAGGGCAGTAGAGGCCAACAGGGAATCCGCAATTGAAGCTGCTGTTTCAGCAGCCATGGCAACCGCTGCGCAGCAGAGTTCCCAGGCCAGCAGTTGAGGGGCCGTAGGGTCAATGGTCGCGCAGACCCTGAGTCAGTCCACTGGCGTCATGGCAAGCTAAGCGCATAGTGTTGACTTCCGATGAGATCGCCATACAGCAGGCAGCACTGCAGGAGGCACAACTACAAAGGGCTCTAGGAGAGATAAAAGCGGAGAAGGAAAGAATGATTAGAAGAAGAGCCAGGATGCATCGGAGAGAAAAGGACGTTAGTGAGTTAGAGAGGATGGACCTGATGCACATGGATGCAAATGTGAGGACGTTGCGGACAGCCCTGCTAGGTGTTGTAGAGATGCAGGACCACCACACGGCTCTCCTTCAGGACATCCAATAGAGTCTAGCCTTGCTGGTCGGGCGAGCGCAGGCAGCACCATCGCTGTCCGGGCCCGGTGCCTGGCCCGTTGTACAACCTCCTCCTTATGTCCCACCGGTGACTGGGGTATCCCCATACGTCTTCCTAGCATCGGTCCATGCCGCTTCCCTAGGTATGTCGTTAGCAGGAGGGTTCTCAACGGGTCTTAATGTACAGATTCCTACAGAAAGTGTTCTCCCAACCTTCGTCTCAGGTTGCCATAAGCGGGCAGCCTGTTGTGTCGCAGCCTGTGCAGCCTGCACAGCCGTAGGGTACACAGCCCTAGCAGCAGCTAGTGCAGCAGCCTGCATCACAGGGTCCACAGCCCGGAATGGTGCAAGTACCGGGACAAAGTCAGTGGGTTCCAAAGACGGCCATCGCTGCTCCTAAACCCTTTACAGGGGATAAGAGGGGCGAAGACCTCGACACATGGTTGAGGGCAGAGCCCGTCTATGTTAAGTGTAAACTTACCTTGCCGCACGAGGAAGTGCTTGTGGCTGCCTAAGAGTTGGGCACCGGGCGCCCAGAGCCGCACCCACCTGCACCCACCCGACCCACAGGGTGATGGGTCGGATTTAGGTCTACATGAGTTGTCTTGGGTGGGTTATGGGCGGGCGTAGCCAGCATGCCTTTCTGGGTGACGGGCGGGTAAGATTTGACCTGGGTCACTCGCTGGGTGTGTGGCAGGCGGGTGATGGCTTGGCTTGGGTCACCCGACCCATAGACCCAGGATGACCCGAAAATTATGCAACCTCCTCCACCCCCCCTCCTTGTGTAGTACGTCGAGTTTGAGGTTGAGAGCCAAAAAAAGTGTCTGATACAGTTGACCAGGTCCTGATGAAGTAACGCCGGTGCGAAAGCAGTGCAGCTGCCCCTGGGCAAAAAAAATCTTGAAATGTTTTCCTTTGAGAAGTTCGAGTCGCATTGATGATGTTGCCGTTGTTTTAATAATAGGATTTTAGATGTTTTTTGCAATGCTATGTTGGCGATGAAATCGTGATGGTGTAAGGGACTGGCATGGGCAGGCGCGGGCTGATGCGGGTGGGTGCGGGTGAAGAAAATTTAGGTATTGGACGCGGCCGGGTGATGATACTCTTACGGGTGCGGGCGGGTGTGGGTGAGGGTTTTTTTCGGGTCATGGGCGGATCGGGTGTGGGACTGAAATTTCAAAAAATATTTTGGGTGGGCGGGGTTGTCTAAAAGTAAAAAATAAAATTCTTGGGTCGGGTGGATAGGGAAAAATAAAATTTGGGCGGGTTGGGTCGAGGGTGAGGAAATTTTTTTTTGCCCACCTCTGGGCTGCCTCCTATTTAGAGGGGAGTGCAACAAGATGGTTGAGTGGTTTAGTGCAGTTGTAGGGATACTGTCATGACTTTCTCGCTTGGGAAGTCAACCAGAAACGGGATGTGACTTCCTTAAGTTGGTGGAAGAAAGCTGGCATGATCTCCAAGAGGCTCAAAAGGCCACTGACGCGATCCTGACTTTGCATACCAGGCAGTTTAAGTTAGTAAAAGAGGCCACAGACGCAGTAGAGCGTCTGATCCGTATCCTTGAGGTGCGTTATGACCCCCAGGTTCTACTCACCTCCTACCTGAGATGCTTTCCTTTGCCTCTCAGGAATCAGTTGGCAGGTGAGGTCAACATCAACATGCACAACTTTCCCGCATTTAGAAAGAAGGCCCTAGACCTGGAGGCAAAGATAGGGCATGGACAGACACCCACAATGGATGGTAGGAAAAAGTCACTGCCTCCCAACTGGAAAGCGAAGGGACACATTATGTTCGTTGACAACGATGGTTCTACCATTGAATTGGATGACGACTTCCAAGCAGGAGTGGGTTCAGAGGCAGGCAGCGTAGAAGCTTCAGGGGGCCGTAACGCAGAAAGATAAGGCAATCGGTAGACGCCGTGGAGGTTCCCGGTGTAGGAGTCAAGTCGACCCCAATGCTCCATGGGAGAAAGCGGGTCTCAGTGAGGACGTGTGGAGAGATTGGTACACGCGGCAGGCTTGTATCCGTTGTGGCCAATATGGCCATAACCAATTCAAGTGTTGCGACAAGAAGATGACCGGGAAGATCCCGCCTATGATGGGGCAGGCGTTGGGATCCTCCGCTCCCGTTGGTAGCAATGTAGCCAGCAATTCTGGCATCGCTCCGGGAAACACGTCGGGCCAGTAGGAATAATAGTTGTTCTTGCTAGGGTCGAGGTGGTGAACACACCCTCACCATCTCGAGAGATGGCCCAAGCTACTGACTCCATCGTTGTCCCTCAAACACATTCAAACCCATCGAGCCTCTGTTCGATGAATGTGTTTGAGTCCTTAAAGGAGCTAGAGGAGGAGTGGTCTAGATCAGACCCACTAGCTTCTTGGACGACATTGGCTAGAGCCCCTAAGGGTGAGATGTTCGTCAGCGAGGTAGTCATCGGCGGCCGCAAGGCCGAGCCCTATTATGACACTTGCTCGACACGGAACTTCATTAGTCGCACGTGCATTGAGAGGGTGCACTTACAGGGGCAAGTGCAGCGCTTGAGTCGACCTGTGGAGTCGACCTGTGCCAACAAACAGCGCATGGTAGTCAACGACTACCTTCAGGACATTAAGTGTCTTTTCCCGTACGCGGGAGGGGAATTGAGACATCGGGTCTTGCTCCTAGTGAGCGATGATCTCCCTATGGATATCTTGTTAGGTATGTACTACCTCTCCGTTGCACAGCCCCAGTTTGAATAGGATCGAAAAGTGGTCAAACACACTTTGCCATGTGGGGGGGGCGCCATATTACGTAAGTTTAAGGCTAGTAGTCTGATCGAGTCCTATGGATGCATGTGTGCGGCCGCGTTCTACAACTATTATAAGCAAAATCCGAAGGAGGGTATGTATCTAGTTTATGTCTTTGCTGCAGGCGAGCCGGTGAAAATGCCGCCGGAGATACAGGGAGAAGTTGCTAAATACCCTGATCTATTTGAAGAGCCGAAAGGGGTTGTTGAGAGGGAGGTTGTCCACGCAATAGAGATTATCCCAGGGTCCAGCATCCCGAAGGGTAGGATCCATGGGAAGTCTCTAGGCGAACTTGATGAGCTTCTCCGACAACTCAAGGAACTCATAGAAAAGGGTTGGATCCGGCCGAGTGTCTCCCCTTATGGATCACCAGTTTTATTTGTGCCAAAGAAGGGGGGTACACTAAGGATGTGCATTGACTATAGGGGCCTCAATGCCATCACTGTTAAGAACCGAGAGCCCCTACCTCGCATCGACGATAGAGTGCAAGGATGTCGGTACTTCAATAAGGTAGATCTGAAGTCCGGGTACCATCAGATTGCAATACGGCCTGAGGATCAGCACAAAACCGCTTTTCATACCAGGTACGGTCTGTACGAGTTTGTGGTGATGCCTTTCGGCGTTTGCAATGCTCCCGGCACCTTTCAGCATGCTATGGATCGGATCTTTCATGACTACTTAGACAAAGTCCTCTGTCTCGTTCGGCAGTACAAGTTCAAGATCAACGGGGAGAAATGCGAGTTTGGTCGCACCTGGATCTTGTACTTGGGTCATGAGATTTCCGCGAAGGGTTTGAAGCGCGATGACGCGAAGGTGGCCATCATTTGTGACTGGCGGCGTCCTCAGTTTGTGAGTGAGATGAGGTCTTTCTTAGAAATGACCGGCTACGAACGTAACTTTGTTAAGAACTATAGTATAGTGGCTGCCCTTTTGACTGATCTGACCTGCTTGACACCCCATGGGAGTGGACAAACAGGTGTGAGGCTGCCTTCAATCATCTGAAGGATGCGTTGACACACCACGAGGTCTTGAAACTTCCCGATCCTGATAAGCCGTTCATAGTAACCACGGATGCTAGCCAATATGGCATAGGCGTCGTGCTCGCATAGCAGGAGGGGCCAAAGTTGAGGCCAGTCGAGTACATGTCCAAAAAGATGCCGTCTCAGAAGTTGGCTAAGTCCACCTATGAGGAGCTCTATGCGATCTACAAGGCACTGACCCATTGGAGACATTACCTCCTTGAGAGGTTCTTCATCGCCAGGACTGACCATCAGACCCTGAAATGGATGAGAACCCAGCCAGTGCTCTCCGATGTATTGAAGCGCTGGATCGAAGTCATTGAACAATATGACTTTGAACCGCAGTATCTGAAAGGGGAGTACAACAAAGTTGTTGATGCCTTATCGCGTAGGCCTAATTTCTTTGGTGCGCTGATCACTGTGTTCGAGCTTGCGGACGATGTCACTCGCTCTTTGGTGGAAGCCTATCGCGAGGACCAGTTCATGGCTGAGATCATACGCAGACTCGAGGCGAAGACAAGGTGACTTCAGCCGAGTTTGAGTTGGTCAACGGCCTGCTGTTTTTCGAGGAAGGGAGTAAACGTCTATGTGTGCCGGACAGAGAGTCTTTGTGTAGTTTATTTTTAGGCGAGTGTCATGATGCCACCGGACATTTTGGCTACAAAAAGACAGCAGCCAATCTGCTGCAGCGGTTCTGGTGGCCCACGATGATGAGAGACCCCAAGTTGTACGTGGAAACTTGTCGCGTCTGTAAGAGGGACAAGCCACGAACACAGGCTCCTCTTGGGCTTCTGAAGCCCCTTCCGATTTCGGAAAGGCTTCTGAAGCCCCTTCCGATTTCGGAAAGGCCTGTCCATGGACTTCATGGATATGCTAGTCACCATCAAGAGTGGAATGCGCTATGTCTACGCCATTGTGGATAGATTTAGTAAGTATGCTAGTTTAGTCGTGATGCCTGCTACAGCTCAGACTGAGTACGTAATTAAGCTGTTGAAAGAGAACTGTGCAAGGAACATGAATATGGACGAAGCACAGAAATCCAGATTGCAAAATCACACTGAAGTCCATGTAGTCAAAGCCAAAGCAGATAGCACAATGGAAGCGAGTAACCATCCAATCGAGAATGATACAAAAGAATCGTGAGTCAATGTCCAAGCCCAACAGGGCAACACCAACAGCATAAGCCAATGTAGCTCTCTCTTGTGAATGGCGCCAGGCGCCCTATCTACTCTACAGCCTAGCCTACAACTACAACAATGAAAGCAACCAGACAACTTGACTACCAGCGAGTGATGATGTCAACACCAATGCCGACCTCCACCTCCACCAGGTACGTGTCCTCTTCACCCACACTCTTCCCTGTTACCCACACAGCGCCCTTCACCTCCGAAGAACCACCTTCGCCCTCACCTCCCCTGCGCCCTATGTAGCCCGGCTATGGCCGCCAAGCGCCCAGTGCACAGGCAGCGCCGTACCGCCTAGCGCATGCCTGCCTTGCACCTTGTCTTAGCGCAGCGCAGCAACTCGCAATTAGCGCAGCGTGCCGGCATTGCCCGCAATGGCCAAGATCCCTGCCCACTCGCCCTGCTTGCCTATATGCCAGTGCTGCGTGTGGGCGGCCTCCCTTCAGTCTGCGTCCGGGCCCCAGTGGCTGAACTCAGCCCGATACAGTTGAGGCCCGGGGCAATGCAGTTGCGCCTCCTTTATCAAGGCCTGCGGCCAGATTCAGATAGTGGCCGATTTCCCTTTGGCATTTTCGGCCTCTCTACCCAGCATGCATTGTCGGCCTCACGTTAGTGCCCAGGGCCTAACTAACTCGGAGGCCCTGGGATGTCCACATTTGCGGAGATCCGAGACTCGGTGCACTCCAACCAACTGGCGTGCTGCAACTGTATGGACCCCGCTTCGGGAAATGTTTGCACAGAGGGCTCTTGTTGATTTGCTGGCCGGCCTTCACTTAGGGCGGGCACGAGGCTTGCTGGGGCCTTAGCCCAGAACATGTACATCATGGCAAGGCCCCTACTTGAGGGCTCAATCCTCACAACTGGGTCAGAGATTTTGGACTGCCAAAATCTATAGTCAGCGATTGTGATGTGCGATTCACTAGTGAACTGTGGAAAGCCGCAGTTGCAGAGCAGGGAACGCAGCTGCAGATGACAGCAGGGAACCATCCCGAGGCGAATGGGCAAGCTGAACAGTTGAACCGCGCTGTACAACACCTGCTGAGGCACTACATCAAACCAAATCAGGTAGACTGGGATGAGAAACTTGCTCTCACCGCCAGCCTGTACAACACGCGCTGTGCACAGCGCAACGGGAGTGAGCCCGAACAGTCTGTTACTGACCTTTAAGCCCGGACTGCCCTTGGATTTCTTACTACCTGAGAACCAGTCTACTGCTGCACCAGGGACGTTAGAGTTTGCTTATCGATATGCGTGACTGATGCAGCAGGCTGTTGAACAGATGCACAAGGCACAGGCGGCGATGATAGAGTCAGAGAACAAGCACCGGCGCCCATCTACATTTCAGGTAGGGGAGAGAGTCTGGGTTAAGTCTTCAGAACTGGGACAGGAGCACGGGATCTCCCGCAAGCTCATGCCGCAGTACTTTGGACCATGGGAGATCCTAGATGTTCTTGGGGATGAACCGGATGGGCCGTCATATGTTATTCGCATCCCTGTTCACTTACGTACTTACCCTGTTTTTCACGCCTCTAAGCTTGCACCGCTCAAAGAAACTGATCAATTCCCTCTTGTTCCCTCTCGTCGCTCTATGCTGCCCCCAACCATGAACGAAGAGATCAACATCGACGACATCGTTGATCACAGGGAGATGCCAGTTCCAAGACCGACAGGCAGAGGACGTCCTCCAAAACGGAAGCTGCAGTAACGAGTTTGGTTCAGACATCACACTGATCCAAAGGAGGATAGATGGTTCACACGGGAGGTTCTCATGCAGACTGCTCCACAAGTTGTCGCTCACTACGAGAAGTCTCTGCAGAGGACTATCGAAGTATGGAGGAGGGAATGCGAGGCACAGGGCCTCGATATGCCCTACAGGGCCTACTTTCCACACAGTCGGCCGCCCTAAGTGAAGGCAGGCACGACCGAGGCCTACAGGCCATTTTGGGGTCACCACGCAACTGGGGAAATTCAGGCAGTTGTGCAGCGCCAGTTGGTTGGAAGCGCCCAGGCCCAGGCTGCCTTTCATTGCATGTAAATGAGGCAGGCCCGGCCGGATACACAAAGTGGACCGAACAAAGGCTGAGGGCAGTTGGGTGCTGGTAACCACCACAGGCCCTTGGCCTGTTTACTCTGGACTGAGAATCAGCCTCGTGGGGCCTACCGGAAGCTTCTGGGCCAGGGCCCAGTACCGCATTACCGCACGCATCAGCAGGCCACTTCGATATAGGGATGGCCTGCCTACGCATTGGACATTCGGGCACTGGCTGCATGCTGCACAAGCGCTGTTGCGCTAACGCTGGCCAGCGCTCACGCGCTCACGGGCGAGCTGGAAGGAGCAGGCAGCCATAGCCGAGCTGCACTACTGTATGCTGGATAGGGCGCATGGTTGGTCCTTGGGTGCATGTGGCATCTGTGAGTTGGGGAACAAGGTTGAGAGTGATACGAGAGACATACCTGGTGCTTGAAGCATGCGACATTGGACGAGATCGGCTCGTACTTCGGAGAGCTGTTGACGTCATCAGCGGCATTGTAGATAGGGTAGAGGATCTGCCATTTGTAGTCTGGGCGCCGAGCGCCAGATAGGATATCAACATTGGTTCTTCGTTGATGATGATGAGATTATTCCAGCGTTGTCAATTATGAGCTTTTGCTGTGCTCTTATTTGGTGGAACTCGTGATGCAGTTCTGCTATTGGTTCGAGGTCACGACTCTCTGGTCTCATGTGTATGATGCTGTTTGATTTCTGAAGTTCGCTATTGCTGATCTTCCTTGCATTTTGCGAATGTGTTTTCCACTTTTTGTTTCACTGCTGCCGTTCTGCCACTTCCTCCGCGTCTATATCGCAAATCTGCTCATCTTTCCTGGCTGTTTGATATTATGTATGGCATGTTTGGCTGCCATTTGACGGCTGGTAACGATTGTTCTTTTTTTGGTAAAAAAAGTTGCTTCTGTCATTGTCGTGCATCACTCAGAGTTCACTCTGGGTTTCTCAGAAGTTGCCTGTTACTGATAACTTTGGTCCTAACCTGCAGGAACTTGCAGGATTTGAATCAATTTGGTGATGTTCATCACTTTGCAAATTTGTAGGATTATGCCGTGGGATTGAATTGTAGCATTTTGTTTTCCAATTTGAGATTGGAAAGCCATGTTGTGTAGTTACCACTTTTGGAGAGTCCATCTGGTCTGTTTCTGACAGTTTTCTGTTCTGACCTGCAGCTATTTCGCAGGCATTTACAGAGCTGCGTGGTAAAAACTCTGCAAGGAGACTTTGGGATTGGGGGCGAGCCCTGTACACCTACTCTTGTTGGGCAACGACTGCCTTTGGGTACGTCCATCTGTTTTTGCCGCTTGTGTAAGTTCAGAACACCTATGATTATCTCTCAGCTCCACCTACTGAAAGGCATTCCACAATGCAGACCCCAAATTCGAATCTCAGGGTCAAGGTCTCAGGTCAGAAGCCAAGTTGGCCAGTTCATAAAGGTCACAGTCGAGTACCTTAGGAGTCAAGTCGAACAGGCAGCCGATGAACAGTCACATCCCAGAGGGAAAAGTTGCATTCCATAAGCAAAAGTCACGTCTCATATTGAAAGGTCATATCCCACAGGCAAAGGACACTTCTCCAGGTAAAAGTCGTGTCCTGGAAGCAAGTGTCACATCCCACAGTCAAAAGACATGTTCCACAGACAAAAAGTCGTGACTCACAGACCCAAGCAGCAGCACAACAATGAAAATTCGGGAAATTACCAGGCCTCAGCATTCTGAAGCAAAGCAGGCCTCGGGCAGGTGGTACCAGGACCAAGTCAAACGAAAGGAAGCAGAGGTTGGACGAGTTCAGGATCAGTCCAAGTCAATATAAGAACTGGGCAGCCTCATTTCAGCCAGATTGCTCATTCGTGAGAAGTGTGGAAGTGCTGCTGGAGCACTTGTGTGCTCTCTGCGAGTGGCATGTTCGAAAGCCCTGCTGGGCAGCACTGTGCTGAGAGGGAAGGCGGCCATAGCCGCATCGCTAGTAGTAGGAGATAGAGCTGAGAGAGAGAGAGGGTGACCCATGCCCAATGGGACAATGCACAGGGAGCCAAGGATCCGCAATGTGATGAAAAGGACTGAAATGGATAATGCAAGGTCAGCGTAGCATCAACAAGCAATGTTCATTCGGATACATACAAGATGGCGCAAAGTGGCGCAGCGGAAAAATGTAAAAAGAAGATCTGATCTGATCCGGACTGACCCGACATCCATCATACATCACACCTGTGAGAGGGGAGGAGGGACCGCAATCACAGAAGAAAGGTCCCTCCAAGGGAGTAAGATCGCGATAGCGAAGTCCCAAAAAAAGTCCCTTGCCGAGTGTCCAATCAATGTCTGTCCCAGAAATGTCGAATCAGATCCTGGGCAATGTGCCCAACATAACCTCCGCCTGTATCTCCTACCGATAACCTCTCTCACTCTCGTATGTGAAGAAGAGATAAGAAGGAGAAGGAAGGAGGAAGAAGAAGAAGGGAGAGAAAGAGATGGAGGAGGAAGAAGAAGAAGATGATGTCCTCCGTGCTATCTCACCTGCAGGTAGCTGTCACCGTACTGACTGTGGTCGTCGTTGTGTGCAGGTACCGCGTGGAACCCGGCTATGGCGCCAGGTAAGGTCTCCGTTTGCAGGTAAGGCCTCCGCCTCTCTCTACCTCCTACGCCTCTACTCCCTACGCCGCAACGCAGCGCCAGAATAGCGCTGCCTTCAACCAGCAGCGTGTCGCTCCAGAAGTGAGCTACTTGAACTGTCCTTGCCCAGCCGCTGCCCAGCTATTTGTGGCGCTGGGCGGGCTGGGCCTACCTGATGCTGGCCTCAGAAAACGGCCCAGCTGGTCTGGGTCCCTACCGGACATCCAGACCATGCTGCTGATGCAGCAAGGCGCAGAAATGCGCCTGGCCTAAAAACGGCCTGGTACCTGTGCACCTACCCCAAGGCGTCGCCTTGGGACCTGCAGGACCGAAATGACGCCTGTACCTACCGGTCTGGCGCGAAAATGCGCCTGGCCGCGTTTCGGGCCTGCCTCCGGTGTACCCAGTCCCAAGGTCCGGCCTTGGGGCTGCAAGTTCGAGACGGCACCTGAACAGGCAAAGTAAGACAGCACATACGCACAAAAAGGTAAGTAAACTAAACCTACCTAACTGGTGTGCTACCTAGGGCCTGAAGGGCCGCCGTGGGCCTCCAAGGCGCGTGCTGTATATGGTATGCGGCCTGGGGGGCCCTCAGCAATCGTTGGGGCCCTCAAATGGGTCCGTGTGCAGGCGCAGCATGCAACACCCCCCCCTCCTTATGAAGTCAAGCCAGGTCGAGGGCGAAGCTGATGATCTGAAGGTGGAACTTGATGCCGGCTTGCCTTGCAACTTGCGTTCGTAGCGTGCGAGGACATCGGGCGCTGTTGCTTGAAGTTCCGCACGGGTCAACCATCTGTCAGCTCTATGGTTGGAATATGCAAAATGGATCAAGAATTCAGTCGGCTTGTTGCCGTAACGTCGCTGGGATATGATGTCGCCGACCTGTTGGAAATCGTCCATTGAGGGTGGGTCTTGCGATCGTCACCCGGGAAAGTCGTCAAGTTCCGTTGGCGTGTAGAGAGCCAACCCGGAACAGTGAAAGGCCGGGTTGACGGGCAAGTGGGCGGGCACCTGAATGACAAATGAAGGTCCTTCGGGTGCGTCCCCAGCGGGTGCCACGATCAGCCAGGGCCCCGTCCATTTTGGAAGGAGCTTGCGAGAGATATCTTGTTCGAGGCTGACTTCCGCAGCGGAAACCCATACGAGGTCGCCGGCGCGGAACGGACAAGGAAGATGCTGGCAGTTGGCGTGTTGGCGCATACGTTGCTGCGTCTTTGACATCTGGTCGCGTGCCTTGACAAGAAGCTCTTGCATCCGACGAATGAAGAGAAGATGGTCGTCGCTCTCGGCCGCCCGTGGGATGATTGTGTCCAACGGAGAATTGACCGGCGAGCGATGCTCGAACTCAAAGGGCGACATCCCGAAGTCGGATGGATGGATGAGTTGTATGCCAACTCGATATCCGACAGCCACTCAACCCAATCCTTTCTGTCGGGACGGATGAGAGTGCGAAGAAGGACCTGTGCGGTCTGATATGCCCTCTCCGTTTGGCCATCGGTTTGGGGGTGGCGAGCCGAACTTGGCTTGAGGGATGAGCCCCATCGTTTGATGAGCGCCATCCAAAAATCGGACATGAACCGAGTGTCGCGGTCGTAGACGATCTCCTTGGGGTAACCCTTGGTTCGAATCCAGCCGGCATAGAGAGCCTCGGCCGACTCCGGTGCCTTGGCGTGATAGTAGCGAGGCAAAAACGTGGCAAACTTGGGGAGTCCGTCAACTACCGTGAGAATCCCATCCGCACCCGTCTTGTGCTTGGGGAACGGCCCGGTAATGTCCATGGCAATCGCTTCCCTTCGGCGCAAAGGGAGTGGTAATGGTCGCAGTTCATTGTACGGACAATGATTGCGGGATTTGCAACGTCGGCAAACCTCGCACGACTCGCAATAGCGCGTGATGCCGTCGAGAAGACCGGGCCACCAAAAGCGCTCACGGAGTCGACCAATCGTGCGGTTGACTCCAAAGTGTCCGGTGGCGGGGGCGTCGTGGAGCTCGCGAAGAAGCCTTGTGCGCAAGTGTGAGTCTTGTGGCACACAAAGTAGATCCTTCCCTCGCGAGTGAATGAGCAAGTATCCCTCTTGGATCCGATAGTGCGAAGGTGCCGGATTGGGAGAGGAACAATTTGCGTACTTGTCGCGAAATTCGGGGTCGGCTTGATAGTCGCGGATAAAACTGTCCCGCAAGTCGTCCTCTATCTTGAAAGTCGAGTAGACGGCGGTGCAGTGATCCGGACGTCGTGAAAGAGCATCCGCAAAACGGTTTTACTCCCCCAGAATGTGATCGGGCAAGAAGTCGAACTGGTCGATGAAAGGCATCCAACGGGCGAGCGTGATGTTGACGGTGTCTTGGGTCTTGTAGAAGACCAACGGATTGTTATCCAATATGGAGACTTGGAGGATAAGAAAGATAATTAATAAAGCACCCATTGGAACTGTTGGCGTCGACCAAGGAGGAAGTGCCGCCACCCTTGAGTGCGTGGACGAAGCCGAGAAGTTCCTTTTTGCGTGCATCATCGATTGAGTGCATGACCGACACTTTCTTGCTGAAGTATTCGATCGGGTGCCAGTCCACGCCATCATGTTGTTCGAGGACGGCACCAATGCCATAGCGGGACGCATCCGTCGTGACACGCGTCGACAATAGAGCCTTAAGGGCCACAAATGATTCCCGCGCATCCGTCCCGAAGTCAAATGGCCGGTCCTCACATTGAAGCTTGGATAAGTGGGCCGCAATCTTCGAGTATCCTTTGATGAAACGTTGGTAGTAGCCGGCAAGGCCAAGGAACGAACGGACATCCGTGACGTTTTGCGGCTCCGGCCAATCTTGGATGGTTTGAATCTTGTCCGACAATGGACTGATTCCTTGTGGAGTGACGAAATGGCCCACGTATTCCAACTCTTGACGTACGAATTCGCACTTGTCGCGGTTGGCTTTATACTTGGCGCGTCAAAGCGTCTCCAACACTTGTCGAAGATGCTCGAGATGGTCCTCCAAGGTTTGGCTTTAGACGAGGATGTCGTCTAAGTAGACCAGCACGAACCGGTCTAACATTGCACGAAACTCGTTGGTCATCACTGCTTGAAAAGTCGTCGGGGCATTTGTGAGTCTGAAAGGCATGACGACCCACTCAAAATGCCCGTACCGTGTCTTAAACGCGGTCTTGTAGCGATCTTGTGGGCGTATCGAAATTTGATGATACCCCGATTTCAAGTCCGACTTGGAAAAAAATTTTGCGCCGCCCAACCGCTCCAAAAGATCGTCAATACGAGGAAGAGGTCCCGCGTTCTTGACGGTTTGTACATTGAGCTTGCGGTAATTGATGCATAGGCAAAGATCCTTGTTCTTCTTCCGCACGAAGAGAACCGGCGCACCATAGGGTGAGCTACTAGCCCGGATCCAGCCTTTGTCCAACAAATCATCGAGTTGCGCGCGGAGTACTGTAAGTTCCTTCTCGCTCATGCGGTAGATGCAACCTTTCGGCGGCACGGCACCAGCCTCGAGAATGACCTCGTGGGAGATCGGTCGTTCCGGCACCATGCCGACAGGTGACTCGAAGATGTGGGCGAATTCGTCAAGCAACCGTACCACCCGGGGGTCCGAAGACAAGTCCGTGGGTTGAGATTCGGCTGCCGTGACAGTTCGAAGAAAACATAGGCCTATCTCATCGGTCAGCTCGTAAGCGCAAGTGGCCCGAAAAGATTTGGCCGTTACAACTTGGCACCGGATTGAAGGGTGCGGAAGAGGGATGGTACATGGTACTTCGGCGCCAAACGCGTCGTGGACCGTAAGTGTCCGCCGATGGAAGTTGACCGTGTTATCCGCACTTGCAAGCCAAGGCATGCCCAAAATGATGTCGAAGTCCAATGTCCAAGACGTCAAACGTCACCGGTGCGCATGCATGAGGTGCGAAATAGATCGGTACGGCCTAGATGTTGCGGTCAAGGAGTTGTTGCGTCCTACCGTCCTCCAACTTGATCGCCGTACGGTGTGCCTTCCTTCGAACTTGTGGGCCAAGGCCGGCCCTTTGCATAAAGAACTGGCTAATGAAGTTGCGAGTCGCGCCGCTATCCAGCAAAGTGCTGCGGGACGCCTGCCCAACTTGGATGCGGGCATAAAGGAGCGGTGTGTTGTTATCGTCGTACCGCTGCGTGCGAAACTCTTGGCCACCTTGCTAACATATGCAAGAATGTCCCCCACCACGACTTCGTCTTTCGTCGGTGAAGTTGGTGGTGGATAGAAGGCTAGGTATGTATGTAGATAAGCGCTAAGAGCTGCGCATTGCGGCTCCGGTAAGCAGCCGGTGGAAGGGAGAGGGACCCATGCAAAATCCTCGGGCGTCAACGGGTCTAAGTCCTCTATGTTGAACGCGTGTGCCGAATCCCGTGAAGATCCACTTAAGGACGACTCAATGCCGCTGCTTTCGAACGGAGAAGAAACCCCACATACATCATGTTCTTGGGCTCGTGAATTCAGCGAAGGTACGAGCCGGGCAGCATAGTCCTCGAAAGAATGAAGAATGGGAGGACTTACGACTTCCGCATGTGCCCCGGAACCGAGGGAGGTTACCCGTACGGCAACCGGTTCTGATGGCATCGAGAGTGTCGTCGCATCACTCTCCGCGGTGCTCACTTTCCCGATTGAGCGGGGCCCTTGGCTTTCGTGGGACAGTTCACGGTCTCATGTGCCACATAGTTGCACCACAAACAATAACGGTACTTGCTGCGGATGCGATACCCGCGCTCCGTCAGACCATATTGTGTCCAAGGTTCTTGAGCTGGAGCTGCTTGTTTGGGCCCGAAAGAAGTGGTGTTTGTCTTCGTTTTGCCGCGTCCTCGTGTCCTTTGGCGGGGCGGCCACCATTCTGGGCAGCTGCAAATTTGTCTCCCTCGTCAGATGAGGCAGCCTCGTTTGAAGAGTTGTTTGATTGGGGCCGGGAGTCACCTTTTGTGATAATTTATATGCAATTATCCAGAGTCCGATGTTTCGCAGAAAACCTCCAAGAT